AAATCTGTGCATGTTTTATTTTCTTTTTAGCCAAATATTTACGCTGTACAACAAATAATCATTAAAAAAAACTGCTTTTTACGGCATGTCAGGTAAACATTTTCTGTATACATAAATTAAATTCATGGAAAAATTGTTTTTTTGAGGATGCATAGATAATTCCTTAATATTTAATATATTAAATGTTATCTCAAAATATTTACATACTATATACTTTACTAACTACCTTCATTAATGTCGTGAACCGATATTTAAACGTATATATTATCAAAAATGTATGTAAATTTATTGGTTATAATACATGCTGTTTGTATTTGCACAGCACAAAACTCTTCAAATAAGAATAAAGTTTCCATAAACGTGTGTCGAGAACTCGGTGGAGAAAGTATATTGAAGTTGAAATTGTTGAAATTCTAGTCTGCTTTGCTTATACATTTGTTTACCTATTTGTTTTATGATGTTTCTGGAGCGATGTTCTTAGAAGCTAAGAGATTGTTCCATACTGTTCTTAGAAACCCATGGAAAGTTAGAGAAACAAAGAAAAATATATAAACGGCCGCGGGAAAAGTTTTAGGAAGTTTACGTTGTTATCTGTTATTGTGAATTGTCAATGTTGTCAAAGTTAAACACTGTGTTTATACAAACTGTGCTAAATAAATGAAATTCGGTATAAACTGGTGTTGACTACGAAAAAGTAAATGACATAACAAAAGGCAGTTATTTTTACCTGGAATCAATGACACTATAGACACCCTGGCAAATGCAAAATGGTTTTCTGCGCTGGACCCCAAAAGTGGTATTGGCAAGTTGAAGTGAACATTTATTAACGAATAATAGTAGAATTCACGAATATTAGTTTACGCAAAAGTGGAGTCGGGGTAAGATATCCCACGTTCATTTTCCTGCGGATAAATCGCGAACCCTATAAAAGCATGGTTTCTTTTGTGCAGTCACGTCATAAGCAATCGTTGCACTAGACGTAGACGTTGAAGCAGCAGCACTCGCCCAGCGGATCTTGAGGTCCAATGCAACACTGCCCGTGCGATCAAAAATACGTTGCATGTCAGAACTGTATTTCCAGTGAGAAGTAACAAATATTAAAATAAATAAAGAACTAAGATAAACTGGAACAGTATTATTACCAAAAGGAAATAATTAAATGCCAACACAACGACAGTACTATTTTTTGTTTTGTATAAAAACTATATGGCCAATATTAATCTAGATACACATGTAATAAGATTAGACAGTAGTGGAGCGTTCGTTGTCTTATTAATGAAATTATAGTAAACCCATCTGATAGTACAACTAACGAGCTATAATGCCACTATCTGCATTCCTGAATAATTCAACGACCTACTTAATCTGCTAAAGCTTGCGAAGATTTTAAAGCAGCGTGCACACGTTAGTCCTGAACGACAGAGCGAGAAGCAGTATTACTTCTTACGGACTTTTTGGTTATAAATAAAACCAACAACTTATTTATTTAGTCACACTTTCTGATGTACATAATATAGAGAGATTCTAAGATGCATTTTAATTCATAATTAATAATAATATATTTGGAGGAGGTTACGACAAAATTAGAAAATATAGCTTCAGAAACAAGGTACAGCCCCTCCAATGTAACCTCAAAGATATTTTTTGACGAATATTTACAAAATGTATACGATTAAAGAATTTTTTCCTATACTATTAAGGACCGAAATTTTAAAACTAAATATTAAATTCTAATTTCAACACAAAAAATATTTCGGGATTATTTCGGGTTTTTAAATGTATAGTTGAAAAAAAATACTTACATTTTTTTGTACACAAAAATTATTCGTTAGAATAAAATTGAACATAGTTTTTTCTTTAAAATAAACTAGGATGAATCTAAACTTTAGATTTATTAAATCACTATAGGATGCATTTTGGGAATATTCGACAAAAATAAATTATTATTATTATTATTATTATTATAAGTATAGTATTAAGTATATTTTTTATATATGGTAAATTTTTCATTTAAATGTGCACATCTAAATATTTGGTCTCTGCTACCTAAATTTAATGTTCTGAAGAATTATATTTTAGAAAATAACTTTGATATTTTTGCATTGAGTGAGACGTGGCTAAATTCGTACATTCCTGATCAATCTTTGAAAATTGATGGCTATACTTTAATTCGTAAAGATAGGAATGGAAGGGGGGGAGGAGTAGCCTTTTATTTGAAGTTCTCATATTTATTTAGCATCATCGACACCAGCAATGATCTAGAACAGCTTTGGATTACTGTACCTATTAATAAAATTAATTACATATTTGGGGTCTGCTATAATCCGCCTCGAACAAATTCGAAACTTTTCACTGATAATTTAGAAGAATCTATATCTAATTGTATGCAATTTGGAGATAATATTATTTGTTTTGGTGATATTAATATTAATTTGTTATCTTTGGATTCGAATGCAACTCGCTATTTTTTAAATATGCTTGAATCACTGAATTTTCATCAAATTGTTAATGAAGCTACACACGTAACTGCTACTAATGCATCGTTACTTGATGTTATTATATGTAATGATTTGAACATTGTCTCTTTGGTAAAGGTTGGAGGTCTGAATATATCTAATCATGATCTTGTGCAATGTCAAATTTCTTCAAGTCCTGCTAATGTTACATCAAGGTTTTACACTTATCGTGATTTCAAACACTTTGATGAAGACACATTTTTTAATGATTTGTTAAGATTACCGCTTTCTGATTTATTTTATATGACAAATATTAACGACAAAGTTAGTCATTTGACGTTGCATCTCTCAAACCTTTATAATAAGCATGTACCTTTGAGAACGGTACGAATAACAAAAAAGAAGGCCCCTTGGTTAACAGATAATATCAAACTGTTAATGAGACAAAGAGATAAGGCAAGGTCTGAATATAAAAGAAACTCTTCTCCTGCTAAATGGAACTATTTTAAACAGTTACGGAATGCAGTTAATCATGCTCAAATTGTGGAAAAACGGTCTTATTTTAATTATATTTCAACTAATAAAAATTCTAAAAATCTGTGGGGGGAGCTTAAATCATTAAACATTGTTTCTAATAGCTCTAATTCGCCATTGCCTGCTAATTTATCGAATCCAGATGCTATTAATAATTATTTCATAGACAATATTCCAGATAATATAGGTGACAACTCTAGCATCTTTGATTATTATGATTTCAATAAAGTTCTTAACTCAAGTTTTAAATTTAAACTCGTCTCAATAGATACCGTGCGAAATGTCCTCCAGATTATAAAAAATTCATCGGCTGGTGCTGATTTGCTTAGTATATTTTTTATAAAGCTATGCTGTCCCTATATTTTATATTATGTTGTTCATATAATTAACAGTATGTTTATTGACTGTCAATTTCCTTCTTCCTGGAAAATTGCTCTAGTGACGCCAATTCCTAAGAAAGGTGATCCTAAGACTTTTTCTGATTTACGCCCTATCAGTATTTTACCAGGATTGTCGAAAATTGCGGAAAAGATAATTGAAATTCAAATTCGTGAATACTTAGAAAATTATAGTATTTTACCTGTTTTTCAGTCTGGTTTTCGTCCTGGGCACAGTTGCTCTACAGCTCTAATGCACATTATTGATGATATTGTGGACGCTACTGACTCGGGAAAATGTACGCTCCTAATTTTACTTGACTACAGCAAGGCATTCGACACCATAAATCACGATGTTTTAATTGCTATTTTAAAATCATGTGGTTTTGAACATGACAGCATTAAGTTGCTATATTCATACCTTAATAACAGGACACAGTTTGTAAGAGTCTCTGAAAACCTATCTCAATCTAGATCTATCTGCAAAGGAGTCCCCCAGGGTTCCATATTAGGTCCTTTGTTATTTACAATTTATACATCACAATTTATAAAATTTGTCAAATATTGCTCCATTCACATGTATGCTGATGACACTCAATTATATTACTCGTTTTATCCTAAAGATTATCAATCAGCTATGCATAAGGTAAATGATGATTTAAATACAATATTTGATATTTCCTTACAGCATTCTCTTAGTATAAATCCTTCTAAAACAGCCTTAATTTTATTCGGCAAGAAGACTAAAGCTTTTGATATCTCTAAATTAATTAAGATTAATATAAATGGGCATTTGCTAGAATTTTCTAAGAGTGCAAAAAATTTAGGTTTAATCTTAGATTCCAACTTAAGATTCAGGGAGCAAGTTAAAAAAATGGCCCAACGAGCATACCTAGGATTGCGGCTTCTGTATCCCCATCGTAAATATCTAAACATAAATACTAAGAGAATGCTTTGTGAGACATTGATATTATCCCAGTTTTCATTTTGTGCCCCTGTATATGGACCTTGCCTAGATCTTGACAGCAGCAACCTCATCCAACGCGTTCAAAATGCGTGTATACGTTTTATTTTTGGTATTCGTAAATTTGATCATGTATCGCATAAGTTGCATGANTTCGAGTAAATTGAGTTTGAAAATTACTCTGCTCTTTAAGTTATTAGGCCAAAAATTACAAAAATCTGTTTACCATGGCAAATAAAAGACTGACGTTGCCACAACGCTTAACAATTTAAGTTATTGATAAACTGTCAATTGAGCTTTGCAGTGTTTAATTAGTAAAAGTGGTGAGTGGAAAATTTAAGTATACAACATTATTGCAACTCATAAAATGGAGTCATATTCAAACACGGAAATGGCAGATATGCACTTTATGTACGGCCGTGCGGCTGGAAATGCATCAGAAGCGAGGCGTCTGTATGCGGCAGCATACCCGAATAGAAGACTTCCTTCTCGACAGGTATTTTAGAAGATCTATCAACGTTTAAGAGAAAATGGTTCGTTCCAACCAAGAGTAAATGATCGTGGCAGAGACAGATTTGTAAGAACACCGGTGATGGAAAAAAATGTATTGGAAGCTGTGCAGGACAATCTAAGGGTTGGATTATTATTATTATAAAAGGAAACACTTACAGCTCGGTCGCTTGAGACGTCTCTATCATCGTCGCTGCAGGAGGCCTCCCCCCAGCCTTCTTCTAAGCGTTCTTGAAGTCGGGTATATTCAATTGTTTGCCGCGAACAGGTACACTTGCCTCTCGGAAACCGACACCATTCTAAAAACAAACGCTCTGTTAATTTGCTAATTTAAAATGCAGGGTAATAAGGAGTAATCGTTTCCTTAAAATCAGCGAAAGAACACTTTTTTCCTAAAATAATTCTTAAGAAGACTTTAAATTATATATAAGTCTGACCTATTTCATATGGCAAACATCCTTTAAAAAAAGGTATTTATTGACAGATTTAATTTTTTTATTAAACAAAAAGTTTATTAAATCACATATGATTATCATTTGTTCTCAGTTATCAACACTTTAAATTTTGTTTCCGTGTTGTATTTAACAAAAATTTGTTTGCAATTTATTTATTTGAAATCCAACTGCACTGGATTCTGTACACTCTCAATGTAATTTGTACCAAAGTTCGAGAAAAAATATTTGTTTATTAATGTTAAATTCCAATCCTCCACGGGAAAAGCAGTCAGTGTAGGTAATTATAAATAAATTAAATAATCAAATAAATGTCCACTAATGTGTGCTTCTCAAATGCGCAGTTCCAAATTAAACAATTTTCAATTTTAATGGATGAACAATTACGAATAACAAAATAACCATACAAATAATGGCGTGAGCAGTAAATACAAAAATTGATTCACAACTTTAACTATATTTTTTTAATTTGCAAGTGAATATTTAAGAAAAACACATTAGTTAGCATTTTAATTGTTTATTTAATTTATCTATGATTTGTAGGTTGTTTATCCCATTTAGGAAAACCGGTATAGATTTTCCAAGAAATGTACAAACTACATTGAGGAGGTAAATACATATAAAGAAAAATCTAATCAATTTTTGTCAAATTACACCATTAAAAAATAAAAAATAAGCTTTGATAAATAAAAATGAATTCATATGTTATAATATACGTAGTATAATTTTTTAAGCTATATCTTTCAAGAGAAAACCGAATTAAACCGGATAATAAATATTTCTATTAGATATAATCAATGCTGTAGGATTTCAAATACAAATATCAATATTTTTTCAAATCGGGCGTAACAACATTTTAGGTTATAAAATTAGTGACTAACCTTAGCTTATCAACATGCTCAGGTAATACATTTGTTCCGACAAGACATTTCGTGGGCAGTTGAGAAGTTAAAATGAGTAATGTACGTGCAGATTTTGTCATGTATTTCCATGGGTAACCTGCTTAACCTAACCTCAAAAAAATTTCAGGTTTCCGTTCTTATGTTTGTTTGGTTTATTGAGTTTTATATGTAGTTCTATTGTTAAATGTTTTCGCTGCAGGTAAGCATCGAACATACCAAATCAAGAGCAACTGAATCTTTTCTATCTATTTACAAAATCACCTTCACGTCACTATAATGTACCTATAATTACTATGAAATATGAATTGAAATGTCTTGTGATGGCTCACATCAAGCATTCCTAAGGTCTCATTCAAAAACTCATGTTATGTACAAATGAACAAACAATCTAAATTGTCTAAATAATTAAGTGACAAACCTTGCTTGAATAAGTTTGCTACTAAAAAAAAAAATCTCTGCAAAATATTAAAAGAGCAAGTGTTGCATCATTAATTTTCTCATGTAAATAGTTGTTATCGGCTATTTGGGTTGTTAGTTCTGATATCGGAGACAATTTTTGCAGATTTGAATAGGTCATTTCCATTCACAACTTCTTTTATCTCTTGAGCAATGACAATATTAGGAACATCAACATCAACAAAAAAACGTCTGGTAATAAAATTTAATGAGTTTCATAGGCGTCCCGAAGAAAATTTTCTGCTTAAGGTAATAAATTATAATAATTTGTATACAGGGTGTTTCTAAAATAGGGTTCCAAACTTCTGCTGGGTTTATAACTCATTAAAATAAGCCAAAAAGTTCCTATTAACATGTGCCCTAAAACGCACCCTTAGGAAGTTATATACCCTTAAAAGGGCTCAAACAAAACTGTTTTTTTTTCTGTTATTGACAAAACGGTCGCAAATAAATAGAAAAAAATGTATGGGTCTTATATCACTTTTTACGTTAAATACATGGGCTACTCCGTTTTTCGACATGCAAATCATATGCGTCCCATTTAGGTTGGTCAATGGGGTTTTTGGCCCGTAATTTTTTTTAGTTCAATTTTTTTACAATGTTCTCTACAGATTTATAAAATCTTAACAATTTTACGAAAAAATATTATCTTTGTCCAAATCGATATTTCCAATGGTTTTCGAGTAAATTGAGTTTGAAAATTACTCTGCTCTTTAAGTTATTAGGCCAAAAATTACAAAAATCTGTTTACCATGGCAAATAAAAGACTGACGTTGCCACAACGGTTAACAATTTAAGTTATTGATAAACTTGAGCTTTGCAGTGTTTAATTAGTAAAAGTGGTGGGTGGAAAATTTAATTATACAACATTATTGCAACTCATAAAACGGAGTCATATTCAAACACGGAAATGGCAGATATGCACTTTATGTACGGCCGTGCGGCTGGAAATGCATCAGAAGCGAGGCGTCTGTATGCGGCAGCATACCCGAATAGAAGACTTCCTTCTCGACAGGTATTTTAGAAGATCTATCAACGTTTAAGAGAAAATGGTTCGTTCCAACCAAGAGTAAATGATCGTGGCAGAGACAGATTTGTAAGAACACCGGTGATGGAAAAAAATGTATTGGAAGCTGTGCAGGACAATCTAAGGGTTGGTGTAAGAAGTGTCGCACGTATGCATAACATAAGTTTTTCCGTAGTTTGGCGAATTCTTTGCGAACAACTACTTCATCCTTTTCATATCCAGCGTGTTCAAGCTTTAAATCCGAATGACTACGAACCACGTCGGCAGTTCTGCCAATGGTTTTTGCGAAAATCGAGGCGGATTCCGAATTTTGCATCTCTTATTTTGTTTACGGATGAGGCAAGTTTCAGTAAAGATGGTTATGTCAATTTTCATAACGCTCATGAATGGGCTGATGAAAACCCACACAGCATATTTCAGTCCAGACATCAGATTCGGTTTTCCGTCAACGTTTGGGCAGGCATTTTAGGCGATCGGCTAATCGGACCGTTTGTGTTGCCTAATCGATTGAATGGTGAGGATTATTACAATTTTTTAGTTAACGACTTGCCAGGACTTTTGGAAGATGTCCCTTTAATTGAACGCCAAAGCATATGGTTTATGCAGGACGGGGCGCCACCTCATTACCTACATAATGTAAGACAACACTTAAATGAGTTGTATGGAGAAAAATGGATAGGCCGAGGAGGTCCTGTTCCCTGGCCTCCACGTTCCCCTGACCTTAACCCCCTGGACTATTTTTTGTGGGGTCAACATAAGGCAAAGGTTTATAAAATTCCAATTGAGACCATTCAGCAATTACGAGAGGAAATTGAAACCGCGTGCATGGAAATAAGGCAAACACATAGAATTTTCCAAAGAGTTCGCAAATCATTGAAGCGTCGAGCTAGATTATGCATCGAAATGCAAGGTGGTCACTTCGAGCAGTTCTTGTAATTTAACTTATTATTACTAATTTTAATCCCATTATTTTCTATTTCACATTTAGCTATTGTCTGCAGTAGTAATTAGTTCTTTAATTAGTAAGTGTAACTCTAAATTTAAATAGTCTTAGTTTATGTCCTCAATTGTTTATTAAATGATCGGATCCTTCATAACTGCAATTTATTTGAAAAAAAAAACAGTTTTGTTTGAGCCCTTAAGGGCATATAACTTCCTAAGGGTGCGTTTTAGGGCACATGTTAATAGGAACTTTTTGGCTTATTTTAATGAGTTATAAACGCAGCAGAAGTTTGGAACCCTATTTTAGAAACACCATGTATAATGTGTAGAAAATTTCTATTATATGATCATTTGGCCAACAACATATTTTAATTATTTATGTCCTCAAACAATTTTATTATATTGGTGGTAAATTTCGTTTTGTTCAGTTTCAAAAGGTCTCCAAAATGCCATGCTGTGATAATATTAGTAAACAAAATATTCCTCTTATGATTGATAGAAGGTGCCTATAATAAGCTAAAATTGCCCGATTCACGCCAAATTCCACACTGCTGCACTGCTGGGCAATTTATGAACCACTTGTCACCTACTGTGATTTATTGCCCAGAAGCCCAATACAACTGTGCTCGTTTTCCTTTGGCCGCGCTCGCATTCTTCAACTGAGCGTATACATTTCTATCATCTCTACGTTTAGTTCGACCAGACCTGTTTATGAGTATGGCTAATTAAATATGGGAACAAGTTTTTCAAATATTTCAATGCCGAGTTGCTGCTTAGCGACCGAGCCTGGTACATACCTTGAAATTATTGGTTCTTCAATTGACTTCGGAAAAACTATACTAACATTGACTAGTTTTTTCGAATTTTACTAAAAAAAGCTCAAAGGTCTGTCCCTTTTGGACGTTAGATTCTGGTTGGAAATGGTCTATCTCCAAATATGAAAAAAGGTTTGCTCCGGAACTAAATAGCTTTTCTTGCACCTTCCTAATTCCGACGATGAAAAGGCCTTACGTGAATAAATTCTTTTAAATAAAAATCCAGTGACAGAGATTGAGACTTCTGTATGGGGATTTGCTTCCAGCATCTATTCGTGGTGAATTTAATGAAATATTTGCAAATTTTATCGTAACTGCACCGGAGGTCAACGATATTTGCCACAGGTGATAAATACATTTTCTTTATTGGATACTGCAACTGTTGTAGAACGTATCCGCTTATTTTATAACATATTAGCCCGTCTAATTTGAAAGATATACAAGGTGGTCCTAAATTGTTCTCAGATATTTTCATGAGGAATAGTACATAAAAAATAGGGGGGCGAAAATAAGACCGCTATATATATACTCCTTCGAAGCGGTCGATAATAACACTGAAAAAAATATTGTTCATAGTATTAATGAACGGTCGTTATTAACTTATTTTCATTGGCTTAATGAAAATTTGCATCGTCTCAATAAACAATTGCTTATAGACTAATGAACTCGTTCACTGATATTATGAAAGTGTATTCTTTGGCACAC